AGGAAAGGAAAGGAAAGGAAAGGAAAGGAAAGGAAAGGAAAGGAAAGAGAAGGGAGGGAGGAAGAGAGAGAAAGAAAAATAAAGAGAAAAAAGAGACAGGGAAGGAAGAAAGGAGGGAGAGAAAGGAAGAAATGGGAGGAAGAAAAGGAAGAAAGTGAAGATGAGATAGTGTAGTCCAGCCATGGTGGACAGCCCATACAAAAACAAAGAGATGGGAGAAGGAGCATATCATGAACCATGAGAAGGCCAGTTTGGCTAGACTGTAGACATGCAAGGGAAAGTAAAGGTTGAAAAAGGAGGTTGAGGCCAGCTTGTGAGGGGCTTTAAGAGCTGAACAGAGAAGCTTATATTTGATGCTAGAGGCAACAGGAAACCAGAGGAATATGTTGAGTGAGAGAAGGACATGATTATACTTAACACTTTCAGAAAGTCAATTTGGCATCTTTGTGAAGAGTGAGTGAATTGTAGGAAGGAGACTAGCTGTAGGCTGAGGAGACCAATGAAGACTATTACAACAGTCTAAGGTCCTGAACCAGGGAGCTGTCTGTGAGAAGACAAAAAGGGATGAATGGAAGAGATACTGTGGAGGCAGAAGCAACAAGATGTGGCACCGGATTGGTTATGTGTGGGTGAGGAGTTAAGGTAAGAGGGAGGAGTAAGGGACAGTGCTTGGTGATCTGCAAAGAACTTCACAAACCACTTGATCCTCATGGGTAGGGGGATGAGCAGGTATTATCATCTTTATGAGGAAGCCAAGGTTCAGATATAAAGAAATAGTAATTACTGACAGTCACATGGTTCAGCAAAATGAACCAAGGACTTTACATCTCATTTGGGCCTCACAGCAGCCCTGTGTTATTTCATTATCCACACTTAGCAATGAGGAATTTGTGTCCCAGAGAGATTAAGGGGCTTGGATGTGGCTAGTAAGCAGCAGGACCAAGATTCAGACCCAGGTTTTCTGGTTCCAAATCCAGTGTTCCTTCCACTCTCCCATGGCTGCCTGCCAATGAGTGACATCCTTCCTTCTTCCCACTTCCAATCCAGAGCCCCATGTGCCAGCAAACTCTACCCAGTGTCATCTCACCCACACTATCATGGTAGGCAATCATCGCTTCAAATGATAACACCCATGGACAAAGTGATATATTCTTCTTCTCAGCATGGCTGAGTGCAAATGGTTCCACATCCCCAGGGCCCCATACCAGTCCAGAATAGCCTGCACGATGGGATTGTGCAGCTGGCAATGGCCACCCAGATGGTGACCATGGACAAGGCCATCCCATCCAAAGCCTTTGGAGCTCTATCATGGCTGGGCTGCAGGATGCACTACCTCATGGGCAAGGGATGGCTGGCCTACCAGAAATGCAGTTTTAATGGTCTATATTTCTCTTCCAAATGCAGGGTCTCCAAGGTGTTCCTGGACCAAAGGTAAGATAGGTATTCTACCTCTCACCTAACAGGCCATAGCGGGGAAAGAAAGGGGAAAAGGAGGGGACTTAGAGGCATGGCTGACCAGCAGCCTCCCTTTATCTCCTAGTGCATCTAAGGAATAAAAATAGTTGCAACAGATAGGTGGAAATGGTCTCAGCAGAGAGGAAGTCCTGTGCTCCATAAGCACCAATTGATGCTGCCTTGTGATTGCTGATGTCTCTGAATTTCTACTTATTTATCTACCCACCCATTCCTTTCACTTTAATGGACATATATTAAGCACCTACTCTATGCAAGGCACCATGTCAGGCACTAGGAAAACAAAAATCCAAATCAAACTTTTCACCCAAGGAACTTACAATCTCATGGGGGAGGAGGAGGAGGAGATATGGATGCAAACAGCTATGATGCAAGGGAAAAGAAGGGATCCAGGTAAAGGGTGATGGGAAACTTGAGAGACATCACTTTCACCTGGGGGAGCTCAAGGAAGGCTTCATGGCACAGGTCACACCTGAGTTAGGTCTTGAGGAAAGGGAAAGACTTCAACAAATATAGTTGGAGTGAGTCCATACCAGATGTGGGAGATGGTGTTAGGAAAAGCACCAAGTCAGGAGAAGACTATCTCTAGTCAGAAGATAAATTCTGTCTCTTACCTGTGCGGGCATGGGCAAGTCATCTAACCTCCCTAGGCCTCTGTTTCCTCAACTAGATAACGAGAGGGTTAGAGATGGTTTCTGAGGTTCCTTCTAGCTCTCCAATCCTATAATCCCTACCTTCCTATCAAAAGCATCTCCATCCTTCACTCACACTAAAGTGTCAATGATTGCAGCTTTGAGGCTAACAATCGATTCTGGCCATCCAATGTAATAATGTCACCTTTGGAGATATTTCCACTTTGATAAGGATCACAGCTATGGCAGGAGGTTGAAGCATATTGTAACCATGTCAGGTCCCAAATCCTCCTCAGTTAATACACACACACACACACACACACACACACACACACACACACACATACACAATCCAGGGAAACTCAAAACTTCAAGGAAATGAGAAATAGCTGGCTCTTACCAAATGACTGAGAACTCCTGTGGCCAAGAAATAAAGCACTGATCATAGACTTTAAAGCATCATTTGCATTGCTTTTTTATTTGCACAGTCCCTGGCACATGGTAGGCCCTTGATAAATGCTTATGTATTGATTAAGTAACCAACATGGAAAGGATTATTTTGAAGCATCATCGTGCCCTATCATGTCTCCTACTCTGTCTGCACAAAAAACCATCTACTCTATCTCTGTGGCTCCCATGCTCTGTAAGCCTGAATACCCGTTCTGGTCATCCATCTTATCTAATGATGGAAGAGACCACAAAATGCTTCCAGGGATGCAGAGGTTGTAACAAAACTAGGGATCAGGCACCCTTCCCACCAGTCCACAATCCCAAGATGTGTTGTCTAATGGAGCAACATGTCATGATTCCCTCCTAAATGTGTTTTTCTTTCAGGGGGAAGCTGGACTTGATGGAATGAAAGGAGAGAAGGGTGTCCAGGGAGAAAAAGGAGACCGAGGTCCATTGGGATTGCCTGTAAGTGTCTGGGAACTAGGAAGGGCATTTTAAGTGATGTTTGATCCTGAAGAGTACAGGTTACCAGGCTGGGCTATCCTGTGGGAGATGGGAAGTTAGGAGAGAAATGTGACTCACATAACCTGTACTTGCATTCCAGCTGTGGAAAATGGCCACCACACATTATAGATACAGTGCTTTCATCACAATGATCCCATGAGATGGGAAGTGCAAATCTTTTACAGAAGAGAAAACTGAGGTTCAGAATTTCACCAAGGGCCACCTAGGTAGTGCCAGAGTAGAAATTCAAACCCAAATCTCCTTACTTCAAATCCAGTGGGATGGATTCCTTCTACTCAATAAATACTGCCTGTCCAGAAGGTCTTAGTAATGCAGAATGCAAGCTTTGAACCCAATTTTCCAGCTCTGGAGGGCCTGAAAGTATATTGACCCTGTGAAAAGAAAGTGACCTGAAAGAATCCCTTGTCTCCTAGTCATATGTTAACTTTTAATCATCCTTAAAGCCCAGAATATATCACAGGATCACAGAGTTGGAAGGGATCTCAGATGAGGTCATCTAGTCCAACCCACACCTGAACAGGAATTCACTCTTCCATGTCCCCAGTATAGGTCAGAAATAGGATTTGAACCCAGGTCCTTCTGACTCAGGCCATCCATTCCTCTATGCTGCTTGTCTTTTTTGTGACCATGCCTGGCACAGTATAAAAACTTAATATGTGCTTTAATCTCTCTATCTATAAGTGATTATCCAGTTCCCATTTGAAGACCTCCAGTAATGCGAAACTCACAACCTACTGAGTCAACCATTGTATTTTACAACAGCTCAGCCTGGTAGCAACATGACTGCCCATAGTCCCACAACCAAGGTTCCACGTTTGGGGTAGTCCTTATTTAGTGTAAAGTAATCTTTGAACAGCTGTCCTTAGAAGCAAACATAGGGAGCTCTCTAAGGCAAGGACACTTCCATACTTTTTCCCACCTCTACATCAACCACCAGCACAAAATTTTAAAGTTTTTGACCCATCCATCCCATGTTACTCAGGCTGTCCAGATAAATAGTTTTCAGGACATTCTTGTCATGAAGGCCCATGAAGTTGAGGATCAAAGAGCAGATGGAAGCCATAGCACTTAGAAAATATCAACATCTAGCAAGTGTGAAAGGACTGGAGTGGATTTAGCCTTTGTGCCCCACTGTCCTACCTGGTCGCCTAAGAACCAATCCACATTGATTATTCTAGCTCTGCCATTCCCAACTATTGTGACATTAAGTGTATCATTTCTGCTCTCTGGGCCTCAGTTTCCCCATTTCTATGGTCTTCTCCAGCACTCAAGGGGAACTCTGTCACAGACTTCCCAATGCATTGATCTCAGTCTTACAATTCAGCCCTGGTGAGTCAGGGCTGATATTTGGATATTTTTCTTCTTTTAAAGGTTGGTGAAGTACTCCCAGAGTTCCCATCTAGTCCACTATTGTCCTTTTAAAGAGGCTTAGAGAGGGAAGGGTCTTGTCTAGATCACATGGCCAGTAAAATACTTTCAATTCCTAATCTGGTACTGTCCCATGACCTTCTCAGACTGATCCCCTTCCAAGAACTCATCCTTCATGGTACTAATTCCTCTATCCCCCATTTCAAACCCCGTTCCAAGTTCCCTGACTAAGAATCCAGCAAGAAAAACACTGCTACCTAATTACAAGACCAGGAACTCTCTCTATGTTTTTCTAGAGCTTGAGAGATTTCATTTGTATAATTACAACTAAACTGTAAAAGCAAAAGGCAGAATTACTCTCCTGCTAATACATCAAATGTAGAACTAGTCAAGTATCTAATTATTCTAATAATCTGCACAAAGCTAATAACTAGCAAATATTTTCCACTGTTGTAAGTTGTCTACCAAATGATTAATCTAGCCAGTTCTTGTGATTGAAATCGCCATGATAATAGTTCACATTGAAAGTTTACAAAGCAACACTGTGAGGGAGGGAATCTAAGCATTATTACCTCCACATCATGGATGGGGAAATTGAGGCTCCGAAGGATAAGTTTCTTCTTAGGGTCACAAAGTGAATGAGTGTCTCAGAACTAGAATTTGAAATCAGATCTCTCTTTACTCCAAACCTCACAAGTCTGTCTGCTTTGACATGCTACCTCTCTACCCTTTGAAAAGTCAGATATTAGAAAACAACAAAAATTCTCTTTGGCAGTCAGTTGAATAAAAACTGAAAAAATCTCACCATTTCTGAATACATCTCCAAATACCCAGTTATTTCATATCACATGGACAAAACATCTGGATATTTCACTGACTCTTTGTGTTCAGCCTTTACATGGGTTTTTGGTGCCATGTAGACGTGCCATTTTTCCAAGGAGGTCACACGGAGTTTTATAGTGTTTTCTCCAAGGAAATGGCCATTCAGGGACTGTCTCAGGGCTACTTCATCTCCAGACAGATCAGTAAGTCAGTCCTTCATAGAAGGCATCTTATTATGCTGTAAGGATAAAGATAAGAAAGGCTAATCTTAGTACAATGCCTTTTTAAGTCATGTCTATACCTCCTCACTCCTGGACCTGGCCAGTCATTCCTCCCTGAAATCTGCTTTTTGGAAACACCTTACCTTTCAAACCTGGGAGGTAAATAGATCATATGGTCAGAGATTTGGGGCTGTGGGAGACCTCTGAGATCATCTTGGCTAACTCCCTCCTTTTACAGTTAAGGAAACTGAGGCTCAATTAAGTTGCCTATGGTCCCACAGGTAATATCAGAGGCAGGATTCAAACCCAGGTCCTCTGACTCCAAATCCCCTCCATTGCCTTATCATTGGACTCTGGGGAGAGAATGACACCCAGATAACCTCATGGCTCAGTCCAGATAAGAGTCCTCTTATAGTGCTGATTGCCATCTCTACCGAAAACAGAAATTGACCCATTGCTTCCTCCGTTTTCAAGACTTCAAGCGTTCAATTCCAGGAATCCCTTCAACATTTTAGATCATTCTAAATGGAAAGAGAGCCACTTGCCTGGTGTGATCTGAGGGTGTTAGAATGTCACTGCCCCAATTTTAGGCATCACCTCTAACTTGGGTGCTACAATGGCAGGAATTCCACCATTCTGGATTCATTCAATTGGCTTAAACATTTACCCTTCCCTGTGATCCTCTAAGAAAACAAAAATCACTCCCAAAGGTGAGAACACATTGAGCCCAGTACCATATTGCTTCAAGGATCAATGATGTCATCAACGTCATCTCCCTCCCAACCTTGTCCATGACTTAATAGACAGGCTTAACGAGTTATTATTTAGACCAGAATTGTAATCACATTGGTTTAGAGAACTCCCAGAGGAGGAAGCTCCCTCTACCAATTCAGATCGCCACCTGCCCTACAACTTTTAGATTTAGGGAATATCCTGGGAACACTGAGAAGACTTGTCCAGGGTCACACAGCCAGTGGATATCAGAGGCAGGGCTGGAATCCAGGTCTTCCTGACATGGAGACCTGCACACTCACTCTCTCTCACTCTCTCTCTTCTCTCTCTCCCCCCCCTTTTTTTTTTGGCCCTAGGCCAGGGCTTTCTCTCCCTCTGTCTTCAGCTGGCCAGGGACATGTCTCACAGTGGTGACCATGACTTCCCTACCCGACCCTTCCCTTGAAAATATCATAGATTTAGAGACAGAAGGACCCTCTCATTTTACAGAAGAAGAAAGTGAGGCTTGTGACTTGCCCAAGGTCACATAGCTAGTTAGTGACACAAACAGGACTCGAACCCAAGCCCTCTGAGTCCACAATCCATCATTCTCTCCACTCTAGCACACTGCTTGGTAGCGTGAAAGTAATGGGGGATTCAGAGACTGGAGGGAAAGGGGTGGAGTTCTGGAAGGAGGGAAAGAGTGAATAAGAAGGGAGGTGGAAAGGGCCTGGACGACCACGTTGGCCTCCTTCCCATACTCCCTGCAGAGAGCCCTGCCTGGTCAGCCCACACTGCATCCAGTGTCTCCATGTCGTTGTTGATTTCCGTGTCCGTATCATCACCTGTCCTCGAGAGCTTATTTTCCCGTTTTGTTTGATTACAAGCGTTATGTTTGTCCAAAGTCATTGCTTCACTCACTTCTTTCCTCCCCATGTCCTTTTTTCTCCTTCCCCCTCCCCACCCCAACACCTTCCCGTTCCTCCCTGCCTTCTTTTTGTTAAACCCTTCCCTTCTGTCCAGGGTGCTTCAGGTTTGGACGGCAGGCCTGGGCCACCGGTGAGTCTTGTTTCTCCATTATCTCACCTCCCTCCTCCCCACCCCCCCAGCCTGTGATTTGTCCTGTCTGTCCCACTGTAGCCTTGTTTATACTGTGAGTCGCTACGTTTTCCCACCACCACCATTAAGGAATCGGTTGAGCTTAATTTGAAATCATTATCATTATTTCTTCTGGGTCAAATGGTTCATATAATTATTGAATATAAGAGAAGAAAGCTCAGAACATAGAACATGAAATGTTGAAGGGGGAGGGCCTTAAGAACATAGAACATAGGATGGCAGAACTGGAAGGGACCTTGTTTTCCAATGTCAGAGTTGAAAGAGATCTTAGAACATAGGATATCAGAATTGGAAGAACACAGAATATTAGAACTGGAGGGTTCTCTAGAACATGAAATGTCAGAGTTGGAAGGAACCTTAGAATAGAGAACACAGAATGTCATAGATGGGTAAGCTCTTAGAATGTAAAACACGGAATGTCACAATGCAAAACATCTTTAAAAATCATCCCTTTTAACCTCCTCGTTTACAGAGCAGAAAGGCAAGGCCCAGAGAAGTAAAATTTTTTATTTGTTTCCTAAGACTTTTTCCTAATACCACATTGTGATGGAACTGCTTCTAGGCTCTATAATCCTGAACTGGAATTTGTTAATCATTCTGTCTCAAAGTGTGGCTGACTCCAGCCTAAATATTCCCATCAACTATCCTGGGTTCAGGATGATCAGATATGGATTTGCCAACTGCACATGGTTGATTTTGAAGCAGATTTTGAAGGTCAATGCCTTCACAATACCTCCCCCCACCCCCAGCTACCTTACTTACTGAAGCGTATCGGGGACATCCTCTGCATGTCCCCATTATACTATTTACCCAGTCCTCATGCTATGAGCCGTGTTCATCTCACTCTTGCTCATAGCAGTCTTGTTAATAGTCATTAGCAATTACCAGTCTGTCACCTTAGGTGTGAAGGGCTTGGATGTATTGTTTGCCTCCTTTTTTCATTGAGACCCACTTTCAAATACCTCCTGGTTTACCTTTGATGACCCCTCACCAGCAGAATACACATTAGCCTATAGATGACTCGTAGCCAAAGAACAATTTTAAGAACAAACTTCATTAGGAAATTTATAACAACAACCAAAAAAATCTTCCCAGAATGTCAAAGCCGGAAAGATCCTTAGAAGGGAGAGCATTTCCAAGATGAAAAGGGACCAGAGAACATGGAATATCAGAGCAAGAAGGATCCTTGGAACAGAGGACTGAATGTCAGAGGCAAAAGAGACCTTGGAACATAGGAAGTGTGAGTTGGAAGAGGCCTTAGAGTTCAGCTCGTTTTGCAGAGAAAGTCCAAGGTCACAATGCAAAATGGCAGATAGCCAGATCTCTGTCTCTGTTCTCTCCCCTCCCCCAAGACAATTATATTCTATTGTATTTAAATACAAAAGTGGTCTTCCTGCCCACTCCCACTAGCACTCGCCCTTGGAACTGCATCTCCAAGTGTAGCAAGTGGTGGCCTCTCTCCATGTTCCTCAGAACCAACCAAAAGGCTGGGGGGTTGAGAATGTGATTAGCGTCTAGGGGCCAGAGAAACAGGGTTTCTTCTCTGTGCTAAGCTATTGATCCCAGCAGGGGATGGAACACAGGTCCGGGTCTTCATTTGTCCTAAATTTTTAACTGAGAATGCTAATTGATTGGACAACTCAAAAACCAACCCACAGACACCCATGCTCACAGAAAGGAGATCCTTCTAAGTCAGATCTACAAACACTGAGTCTAGTTTAGCTTTGGTCTGGAGAACAGAGACTTTTGAAATGCCAACTGTTGAATTCTGAACTCTACCTAGTGGAAGGCTCAGTTGGTAATAGGGAGCTTTGATGATGCTTTAACGGTCTCCAGGCAGTACTGTCTCCAAGCCCAGCCCAGCCCAGCCCAATTCTGCTGTTTCTGAGCCAGAATAATTATAAGGACTTCTCAGCTCAATTAATGAGGTTAATAACTCCCATCTCCATAGAGCTCGCCCCACGACACCCTTGGGAATTAGGCAGCGCAAGTCTTATTATTTTCAGCAGATAAATGAGGAAACCAAATTTCAGGGAGGTGACTTGCCCAGGATCACCTAGACCGTGAATTGTAGTGAAGCAGGGATTCAATCCCAGAGCTTCTGGCTCTAGGGCCAGCCACCACACTAGCTGCCCTATCATGCTTGCTTTTATAGGTTTTGAAAAGAGATAGTGAGAGGACCAGCTTAACTCCCCTGAGAATGGGAGGTCAACAATTAACACAGGATCATAGATCGAGAACCAGGAATCACACAGTCAGTCAACAAGCATTTATTAAATTAATTATTTTAAAAAAGCATTTATTAAGCACTTACTATGTGCCAGACACTGTGCTAACCACAGGTGATACAAAGAAAGGTGAAAACAGGTTCCTGCTCTTGAGGAGTTCACAGCTTAATGAAGGAGGCAGCATTATATAAATTGGTCCATACAAGATATAGATACACACACACACACACACACACACACACACACACAGAGTCCCAAAAGTCTTCGTGCAGTTTTAATCTTTAATAGCACAAAAATGCACTAAGACTTTGGGGACATCCTGTGTATGTATATATGCACATAGGTGTATGATATATGTGTGTATGCATATATGGAGAAGGAGGAAGGTAGCTACAAGAAAACTTACCAATCAATCAAGTATTCATTAGCACCTACTATGCACCTTGTACTACACATTTTTTTGTACTTAAGGTACAGATACAAAGAATGAAGCAATCCCCATTCACAAGGAGACTCCATTCCAGTGGGGAAGACAAGTACATCTAAGATATCTACAGCATGAACAGGAAGTAAACAAATACAAACCTGGGCAGGAAGTGGCTTGGAGGGAGGGCCCTAGCAAGGGGGAATCAGGAGAGGCTTTCTGTGGAAGGTGGCTCCTGACCCGCATCTTAAAGGAAGGGGGAGACGGGTGAGGTGGAGGTAAAGAGGAAGGGCATTCCAGGCATGGCGGGTGGTCAGCACAAAGGCAGGAGAGGGAACGCTGTGAGGGAGGAACAGGCTTACCCAGGTTGGCAGCATCAGGCACAGGTGTCTTGGTCCCAGACCTTGCATCCCTTCTACTGAAGGAATGGCTTAGAGACCTTCGCAAGACCTGTTGTGGTGACCATGGATGCCCCCAGGTGAAAGGGAAAGGCCCACACTTCCCAGAGGATGAAGGGCTGAGGTTGGGGGTTGGTCTAGGGGGCCAGGGTTCTCAGGGAAGTAGAATCAGTGGAACCCTCTTCTGCCTGCTTCTCTGTGTGTGTGCATCTTGCCTTCGTCCCCATGGCATGGAGACCTACCCACCCGCCTGCATGATACTCGGCCTACTAGCCTGGGGTCCCTTCTCATCTCCGGAGGCTCTGGTGACTCTCAAATGCTTTCAGAAAATGAGCCGTTCTCCTCCTCCTGTTTTCAGCTTGGCTGGCTTGGCTGGCTTGGCTGTGAGGCAAAAGAGTTCGATTCTGCAGAACTGGGAGATTGAAACCAGCAGTCCGGTCCCTCCCCCAAGCCCAAATGGGGCTGGACTGCAGCTGCATAACCATCCCTGACCTTGGCCTTGCCAACCCTGAAAACTGTCGGCAAATAAACGAAGCCTCGGCTCCCCGGATTTTCTTCCACAACCGCTGTGGTTTTGCCTGCAGGAGTCAGTTGTGCCTTAAAGAGATTTGCCCAGATCACCAGGGCCATGATCGCCCCCTCTTTTTTTCAAACCCCACAGGGTACTCCAGGACCAGTTGGGGTTCCCGGCCCAGCAGGACCAAAAGGGGAAAGGGTGAGTGTACCCGCTCAGCCAAGCTGTGCCAGCCAAATCTGGGCAGTGGGATGGATGGAGGGTGCCAGGATTTAAAGCTGGAAGGGGCCTCAGAATCAGCCAATCTACAAGTATCTACTAAGCACCCATTACTCGCCAGGCACTTTGATAGAAACAATCTAGGATAATCCCTTCATTCTCCAGAAGGCAGCCTAAAGGAGTTTACTAACTGCCCAGGTCACACAGCCAGCAACAGAAACAACAATAATAACTCCTGTTTATATAGTAGTTTGAGGTTTACAAAGTGCTTCACTCACCAAAACTTTGCACAGTAGGTATCATCCGCCTTATTATGTCCATTTTACACAAGAAAAAGTGACATGCTGGTAACTGTTAGTGTCAGGATTTGAACCAAGGTCCCCATTCCAAATTTTGCACTCTGTATGCTGCCAAGAGAAGTTCTGGGTGTTGCTTCTTAGTTTGGGTCTCCAGATGGGGCTTGCCTTGACAACCCTCAAGCTGCCTCCATTAGTCGAGGGATAAGCTCCTATTCCCTCATCCCCAGCCACCACTTAAACCCAAGCAGAGCAACGGCAGAGTCACACTCCCCTTGTCGCCAGTGTTGGAACGAGGTAACAATTGGATGCTGATGAACATCAAAGACAGTCCTGAAAGGGGAAAGAAACAACCTGGAGGCAACGCGCAGCTTTAGGGAGGATGGAGGGGATATCAGACAGTCCCACCAAGGATGCCTCACCGGTGCTAGAGTGTTGACTGTTGATTCATGTAATCATGAGCCCTCGCTGGTAAAGCTCCCTCCTCCCTTCCTCATCAGTGACTCCCAATGTCACCTCAATTTGCCAGACTCAAGGAATAGATGCTGATGCTGGTGAAATAATGATAACAATCCATATCTTCATGATGATTTAACATTTACAAAGCACGTTTTCCACCACAATCCTTTGAGTTTCAGGTATTATTAGCCCGATCTTGAAGTCTTGCATCTGACATAGCCTGGCTGTGTGACCCTGGGCAGGTCACTTAACCTCAATGCTCCAGACCAGTAATGTCAATCTCAGATAGAAACAGGTGCCACTAAACCAGACAGAAGGATCCACCCCTGCAATCCACAGATTGACTTTGAAAATCACCTATTAACATCATGTTTTATTGTCTTTTTACTTATCTTGTTCAATATTTCCCTATTGCATTTTAATCTGGTTGGGGTCATACTCGGGAGGGTTGTGGGTCAGCCACCCATGGGTTCAATACGCTCTCCAAGTCTAAAACCTGCAGAAGAAGGTGCTGATCTGCATTGGTGACAGGAGCTTCCTCCTTGGCAATTTCCCTGTACCAAAAAAATCCCAGGTTCTCTCCCTGTCTTAAAGCTAGGAATTTGCTAAGAATCTGAACCCAGATTCCTGACTCTAAATCCAGTGCTCTTTCCCTACTATGGTGATGGCTTCTGTGACCCCGAAGCCATCGAGTGATATCTGAAACCATCCCCTCCCATCCTCACCCCATTCTTGATAACTGTAACCCATCCTTGCCTCCAGCTCCCACCATATCTTTGCTTTTTTGTACCTTATCATGTGAGGGCTAGTCAGACACTTACTAGATGTCAGACTTTGGGCAAATTATTTACTGTCTCAGCCTGTTTCCTCATCTGTGAAATAAAAATAGTACTATCACCTGCCCCACAAGGTTCTTGTGAGAGTCCAATGAGATGGAAAGTGTCTACAAACCTTTTCTTCTTCTACTCCCTCTCTGCCTACCCCTTTTTTTTCTCCCCAGCTGGGGCCAACTAGTCAGTAGGGAAGATCTCTTGTACCTATGTTGTGTGTCTCAGTCCAGTGAGACTTTACAGGATGTCTTCTGGTTGCCTACCTTCCCTCCCTGTCCTGGAGGTTGTGGTTGGCACCATAGAAGCACCTAACCCCTAGCACCTTGGGGCATTGGGGAGACAAATGGGAAAGAGCCACTGGTTTTAAAGTCTGAAGACCTGAGCTTAAATTCTGGTTCTGATACCTATGAGCCATGTGACCTGGCACAAGTCATTTAACTTGAGATACCAATAAGCCACAGTTCCTGACCTTAGGGAGATCACATTACCTTAAGCAATAAGGCACAAGGCTAGATAACCAGATTGCACAATATTAAAGCATCTTCCTCATATGTAAAATGGGCTAATCATGTTGTACTAACTCATAGGTGCAGGTCTATGGGGCAGGCCCAATGTAAAGTACCATAACAATGTAAGCTACTGTTATTTTACTATTATGTTGTTGGAAGTTAGATGATAATGCCCCAATCATTCACATTTATGTGATCATTTAAGGTTTGCAAAGTACTTTACATATGTGATCTCATTTGATTCTTACACCATCCCTCTAAGGTAGGTGCTATTATCATTATAGATGAGGAAACCGAGGCAGAGAGAGGTTAAGTAACTTGCCCAGGGGCACACAGCTAGTGTCTCAGATGGAATTCAAATGCAAGTCATCCCAACTCTATCCACCAAGAGTCCACTACTCTAGCTGTCAAACCAGGCTATATCCAATTATGTTGGATCGTGGTGATGAGGGAACAGCTGGCTATCTGAGCTGGTCAGCAGAGAGGACCTTCATGGAAGAATCTTGGCTCTGTTGCTTACTAGCCGTGTGATCTTGGGCAAATCTCTTCTCCTTGATGGGGGAGGGTAAATTGAATGATCTTTAAGGTCACGTCCAATTCCAAATCTCATGGTCCCAGGTTAGACAAGCCAAACTTCAAAGGACCCATGGTAGATCTGAATGGGGAGAAACACGATGGTTCTGTCCAACATTACATTCACCATCAGATGGTTTTCTCTGTGTGTCAGGGGACATGAATCACCTAGTCAAGCAGGATCACATGTTGCTTTGTTCTCTGTCTCTTTCAGGGCAGCAAAGGAGACCCAGGGATCACAGGACCAATGGGAGCCGCTGGGCTTCCTGTAAGTTTTCCCTCACCCTCACATTGTTATCGGAGGCTGAGGATGCTCTTGATCACCCAGGGGTGTTCTCTCCAGCTGCTCTTGCAGAAATCACAAGTGAAGACATTGAACTTGGTAGGGGGAGGGGCAGGGTAGAACACGAAGGGAAAGCTCCAAGAGCAAAGGAATGGCTTTGGCTCCCAAGCCAATGAGGTCTTCAGAGTTGGCCAACATGGACTGGGTACCCAGTTATTGCATAACGCTGTAGCAGAGAAATAAATAGCCTCATCTCGGCATCCATAGTACCCATACTCATTGGATTATAGAATTCAGACCTAGAAAGGAGCTCAGAGAGCATCCACTCTAACTGCCTCATAATGAGGAAACCTAGTCCCAGAGATGTTGAGTTTCCCAAGGACACACAGGTAACAAATCGTGGAGTTAGAATTTGAACCCGTGCTCTGACTCTAACTCTTCTCTACACCCCCTGGGTGAGATCTCATCACCTATAAGTCAGTTCTAAACTCAGACTACTAGAAGTCATCCCTCCTGACTCAATCCAATGCATTCAACAAGACAGTCCTGCTTCTCACTCTCATATCCCTTTCATCTCTCCTCCATCAAAACTTTAGGGAACCATCCCAGGGAGAGATTCAGAAAATCCAAGAGCTAGAAAGGAAATTGCCAGCCACAAAGTCCAAACCCTTTCATTTTGCAAAGAGAAACTGAGGCTCAGAGAGCAGTAAAGCCTGAGGTCATACATTAGAAGGTGGCTGGGGAGAGGGGAAATCATGTCTCCTGACCCTGAGACCTAGAATGTGATCATTAACAAGAGGGCCTCACCAGCTCAAAACGACTGATTGACATCTTTTTAAAAATGATTAGAGCCATCAGTGTCTTAACTCACCTTTAAATGGCCAAGCCTCAATAAACCTATGAATTCAGTATTACCAATACCATTAACCTTATTTTACACATAAGGAAACAGAGGCCCATAGAGGTTAAGGTGGCCCAATGCTGCCTAGGGTTACATAGCTAGTAGGTATCAGAGCCAGAATTTGAACCCAAGTCTCTCCTCACTGCAGAGACATCCAGCATTCTTTCTATGACCCCTCACTATGCTGCTTAGTCTTAATTGAAAGAAACCAGGTACTCGATGCTAAGACTTTAATAACTATTTCAGTAGGTCCATGGAAGAAAGCAGCTAAGTGGCACAGTAGATAGAGCCTTGGGCCTGGAGTCAAGAGGACCTTAGTTCAAATCTGACCTCAGACCCTTATTAGCTGTGTGACCCTGGGCAAGTCACTTCACCCAGTTTGCCTCAGTTTTCTCATCTGTAAAATGAGCTGGAGAAGGAAATGGCAAACCACTCCAGTGTCTTTGCCAAGAAAACCCCAAATGGGGTCATGAAGAGTTGGACAGGACTGAACAACAACAAAATGGAGGAAAGCAGAAATAACTTTGTACAGAAATGCTCCCTAGAGCTCCTTAGATTACCCTATACAGCCAGCCACCTACTTCACTTAGAGGAAGGTTCACCCGGTTAGAAGAGACCGTTTACCAAGTTCCAATCCTGGGATTCTTTATTGTTGTCATTGTTTATCCTTCGTCTTTGAAGAGGACCAAAGTATTCTATGGCCAGTCTAGTGGGTCAAGCTGGCCAAGCCATTTTTATGGTGCGGCAGGGCAACCCTACACTTCAGTTTGTCGTTGTCCCACTAGCCAGGTCCAAGGGTAGCCTTTGAGATGAATGGAAAAAAAAACCATTTCGACATGTTTGAGAAGGAGGAGGCAGACAGAATGGCAACATGTGGGCCTCCCTGCCACAGTCATTGGCCTGCTTGCCTTTCGCGTGCTCCAAAGACATGCCCTCAGGGCCAGTTATTCATTCATTTAAATGGACTCACAAAGCCTCAATGAGAGACCACCTGGACAGAGCCCATTTCCCCACCATGGAGCCAGGAAACAAGGGTAGCATTCACAACTCTGCCCATAACTCATCCTATATTTTATAGGTCAATTTACTCAGGCTCTCTTCCCTTTGGTTTCCAGTCTGTAAAATGGGGATAATTAAATTTTCTCCCTGTGCCCCCCCTCCCCTCCAACCCACCTAGAGTTGGATGTCAGTAAAGAGCTTTCAGAAGGTTGGAAGGGAAGGGGCCTGAGGACCATGAAGGGGTTTGCTTGTTAATACGACTCTGTCTCTGATTTATTCTAGGGTTTGCACGGACCACCCGGTGACAAAGGAAACCGGGTGAGTCAGGAGCTGAATTCCTTGTATTTGGTTACTAATGCCTTCAGGATGTGGTGGAATGATCAATTTGAAATGACCCGCCCAAGGAGGAAGTTCAAGTTTCCTTGATAAATCACCCTAAATTAGAGGGATTTCCAGTGAGATGCATAACATTGTAATACATACTGAGATTGGACTCCCAGTGGATACTCAAAAGGATGTGCTCTTAATGCAATATAGGAAGATTCGAGCCCTTCTAACCTTGCGTCTACCGCTCTCTGGCCATGTTGCTTGTAAATAATTATGCTTCAGTATTTCAAGAATCTGTGATTTCATCATCAGTATGAATACTCTCTCTACCTTCCACACCTTAGTAGATGACTTGTTGCCCAAAAAATCCATTTCTTAATAGCCAGCCTCCTGGTGACAAACTTTCCAAGGCTGAGTTTTAGACAACTGACATGTTACTGAGCCTGTTTTCAAAGGCTTAAGAAAACTTTCCAGAGCTGGTGCCCCACTAGCAGGCTTAGAGGGCAACATAGGACAGTGGGAAAGTTGTTGACCCCGGAATCAGAGGAAATGGGTCTGAATCCCACCTCTGACTTTTAGTACTTTTGTGACCTTGGAGAGGTCTCAGTTTCCTCATCTGTAAAATGAAGGAATTTAATTAGATACTCTCTGAGGTCACTTCTAGCCCCAATTCTATGATCTTCAGTATTATGTCTAAATGCATTAATACACTAGACTAAGGTTTTCTAAAATCACAAACAAGCATCAAATTCAATCTGAAACCACTGGCAAGGCTGGGAAGAAATTCCAGGTCAAAGTCTGAGAGTCTAGGTAATTTAAGCAGCAGCCCTTTGTGAAATTACAACTGCAATTCCTCTTAGAGAAACTAGACAGAAAGGTCTAAACCCAGGTGTCCCATCTGGGACCTGCCTAACCCCAGGGTGTGGCCTGTCTGAAATGTTCAGCAAAACAAAAACGTATTTTACCTAGTTAGCCAGCACACATGAACTAGCAGGTTAGTAATTACTTGCCCACCTACATCTTTGTGTATCCAGGGGTCATGCTAACAGGATTGGCTCAATAATTAAAATTATTACTTAAAAATGCATTCAGCCCACACACATATGGATTTCTCATCATGGTGCTCATTCCTGAAAAACCTGGATGCCCTGGTTAAAATAATGAGGCTGTGTTTAGTCTAGGGAAGTGGTGACCTTTCTACCTTTTCCTTAGCCCAGATGACAGAGTCCTAACAGGATAGATGCCCTTCCCAAGAAAGATCAGCCTCTCCCCACTCTCTTATTGTTCCTTCAGTCTATTAGTGTTTTCCTTAGCTCTTGTCGGCTCTCTCTACCCTAGAAGCATGGTGCTCTGCCAAGGCATGGCCCATAGGCACCCACACATATAGCACTGCTCCATCAAGAGATGAACATACACAGATAAATAGATACATAGATAGACAGACAGACACATGATAGGCAGACAGACAGAAAGATGACAGATAGATAGACAGATAGATAGGAATATTTATTAAGTGTTACTGTGTGCCAGGCACTGTGCTAATCACTGGGGATACAAATACAAATAAGACACAGTCTCTAGGACTCAAGCTCCTCAAGGAGCTTACATTCTAATAGGGAAAGGCAACTGGCAGAGCTGGAAAAGAAGTTAAATATCTGACACTGGTAACTACTGTTTGAGGAAGTCCCTCTCATTGTGTAGCTAAGACCGCTGCTTGGCCAGCCCCACTGGCTGCTCAGCTAGTCTGCTGGCAGGTCCCTGATAGCATTAATGCATGTGATGGGGCAATATAGACGCTGTCTTTTTCTTTCCATTGCCAATAAAGATGAATTCGATTCCCTTTCAATTCAGTAAATATTTACACAGTGCCTGTAAATTGGTGTCTCATCACAAACAATGCAGAGTTGGTTCTGTCAATGCTGGCCATTAATAGGGACAGGGGAGGAGGAAAGAAGGGAGGTAGCCTGTGTGGTGCATATGACCCTAGATTCAGAGCTAGGAGGGACCTTGGAGACCATCTAACGCAACCACCTCATTTCACAGATAAGGAAACTGAGCCTCAGAGAGGTTAAGTGAGGTTAAGCCCAGGGTCACACAGCTACTTAGTCATCAGAGTCAGGATTTGAGTCCTAATCTCCCTGGCTCCAATTCCAGCATTCTACCCACTGCACCAGACTGCCCATCTTCAGCCTTCCTCCCACTCCACCAAGACATAACTGTCGGAAACAGAATCAGTGTTTCAGGCAAGATGGGAAATTAGAATTTCCTGTGGGCAAAGTCACAAAGACTTTATGGTTCCAAGCAAATACGATCATTCCAACCACAGTTTGGCTTATTAACATCATTTCTATCTCCTTTCTTTTGAGTTTGGGTTTCACTTAATTGTTATTGCTATGGCTAAATTACTCATACTAACTTCCTTTAACTCTTTCTGTTGGTTTGAGGTCAGAGTGAGCCATGGAAGTCGTGATTCAAGAGCTTCATAGGCAGCCACGTGGGGATAGCAAAGATCAGGCAATATTGGTCAGAGAAGCCAGGGATAAAGCTGTTACTCCACCTTGTCAAAGATGGTGCTGGAGGTAGAGATGCAATGGAGGTGAAATTCATGAAATAGTTATTAATGAACTAGACAATGATGGCCCATAGAGGGAATGCTTTCTCTTTACTGTCTTAGAATTTGACAGTGGCCTTTCCTCCCCTCTTTGCAAATTAGGAATGGCTTATTTAACAAAAAGAAAGTCTGGAAAATAGTAGGAAATTGCTCTGGCCTTCATCTGAAAGTTCTATAAAGAATCCACTGACGTTCTCCAAAGACAGTACTTCTAAATCACTTAAAAGTGTCCTTTTTAGCCCCCAAGTTTAGCCATCAGCTCTTAATTTTCTTTGCTGGGCTGGATAGATCATGGGGCTGATCCAAGTCAGGAAGATTCTGATGTTCATGTGATTTGATGAAAGTCCAGCCTAAGAAATGATGTTCTTTTCCTCTCTATTAATTCAATTAAATTCAGTAAGTATTTTTAAGTACCTACTATGTGCCAGGCCCTGAGGTTACCAAGACAGAAATTAAACATTCCCTGCCCTCAAAGAGCTAACATTCTACCAAAAAAATTTTTCAAAGATAGTTCTTGGTCCTCTTAAGAAAGTCACAATGGTCATTCTAAGACTCAATGCCAAGATTATTAACATTTTCCAGATAGGACAGACATCAGACAAACATAATCATGTCCCATTCCTAAATTGCAGTTGTATAAACATCATCTGTCTTCTCTACCCAGAAGTTCTCTAGGAATTTGGCCCACGTGCAGTTTTTAGTTTGGGAAATGTCTGAGAAAGGAACAACATCTTTTGCCTAAAAATGGTGGTGGCAAACACACTGGTGTAGATGCCATGGTGTAGCCTTTGAATCACCCTACAGAAAAAGTCAGATGGTCATTCATCCAAGCTAAGCCAGTCACTTTCCAAAATGCTCCATCTGGCATGTGGAACATGTGCTGTGTGTTTGGTTCTTATTTCTACAGGCCCCTCTTGTCCCCTTACCTCTGTCCCTGCTGCCTTTTTTTTTTTTTTTTGGCCTGGATCTTCCTTCCTCTTCCTTCTATATCCCTGGAGACTTTTTTTTCCCTGTAGACAATTTCTCCCAGTCATATCCCTTTCCCATCCATTCTTTTTCCAATTTTGAGTTTATTTTATCTAAACTCTTTTATTTTCCACTTTTTTTTTAGACATCTCTGTTGCTTGATTTTATTTGTACCTTCTAACCCTGCCACATGCTGAATAAAACCCTCTCTTTGACCAATCCTCTTTCATCTCATTTTATGTAACTCTGAGGGTTTGGGAGGAGGTGAGTTGGGAAATTTTCTATTTTCTGTAAATGGGTCTTTAAAATACCCCCAGTTCTAAGATGATTTCCTCTTTCTATAGAAGTTAAGACCTCCTAGCTCCTCTATTAAAAGCAAGAGTTTGACATGTAGTCACCCCTAAGCTGCTCACATATGTTTTATCCCTTTCATTGATTACCTATGATCAATTTCCACCCTCAGTCTAGGTGCTCCCTAGAGCACCCCCACCCATGTTGGGAAATACAAGCTCATTTGCAAGAGTACCCTGAGTCAAACATCACTAAGAGACAACTAGCCACCAGTAAAAGTAAGAGCTGGTTGAGGGTGAATTGCCATCAGATGAAGCATCACAGGATGCAGACACCCCAGAAAGAAGTGGCTCCATGGCCAGTCTTACCCTTTAGAACATGCTGCATAGACACAGCATAGAGAATGGCAAGATCGACCTTGGACAGCCCCTACCCTCCATCACCAACCCAAAGCCCTACTACCTCCTCTGATCCCCTTAGGGACACACACACACACACACACACACACCCCTATACACTTGCAGATGCCCACAGTTGATATCTACATCCCTACAGAAACTATATTAATTAGGAGGGTCTATTTTTTTAAAATTTTTTTTTCTGGTTTTCTGTTTTATTTTGTATCTTTCTGTCTCTAACTTTGATACAATGGATGATCCTAAAGCTTTGATATTATTTTTCTTTCTTGGCCTGAACCATTATTTACAGGGGGAGAGGGGGAAGAAAGGCTCTAGGGGGCCTAAAGGGGATAAGGGAGACCAAGGAGCACCTGGATTAGATGCCCCCTGTCCATTGGTATGTTCTAATTTAATGGCTTGTATTTGTGGTTTCTTGTTTGTTTGTTTGTTTTTTCCTTGAGGTTCACAAATTGGGAAGAAAGAAGGAAAACTCAGCTTAGAATGTGAAATGATTAATCACAGCCCTGGTGCCAAAGTTCCTCTGTTATGCTAAGGGCTAGAGGAATTCTGGATGCTGTTGGTTTGGGCTCAGAGCCACAGCACACAAAATTCTGGTTAAAATCCCTTTCTTTTCAGCAGCTTCATAAATAAAGTGCTAGAGGGGTGGAAGCCAGGAGGAAAGGGATTGACCAACAGAAGTCCCATGCTTTCAGCCAGGGCTGACTTTGGGAGCTCGAGTAACAGCTGCCAATGATGGAGTTGCCCTTCTTTGTTTCTTTACCACCTCCAGTCAACTACCAACCAATCTGGGTCCTCACTTGGTCTGGATACACAGGACACTAGGGTTCAGCTCCCCAGGTAGATGATCTGTCTCAAACCTTGCTAGGATAAAAGCCAGCCAGGGAGTTACTTCACTCAGCCTGCTTCCTTCTGCTTACAGCAAGGGTAGTCTCAGCACCCAAAGAGTTGGCAATAGAGACCAAGATTCTTAAAGGGGAAAGGTCTTTTATGACTATTAGAAAAAATAGGCCAATATTTATCAGGAGTCCCCCAAATCGATCAGTCAATCAGTCAACAATTTGTTGAGCTTAAAAGCTTTCTCCACCCTGTATCAAGATACTCTTCAATGCAATTCAGTGAACATTTTCTAAGTTACCTACTGTGTGCAAGACTCTAGGCATATAAAGATTACAAAACCATGCAGTCCTGCCCTTAAGGGACTTCTAATCTAATTGTAATTATAATTTTTCATTAAAATTCTGTTAAGGTATTGGACCAGGTTTATCCATGATAGGAGTGAAGATGAGAGAAAAATCAAGATCTTTCCTGAGTCTGCTTTCCCAGGGCTTAGACACTGAATTTCTCAAAAATCAAAGGACCAGTCATAGTTATGTTGGGGAGATTTGCCCCCAAATCTTGGCTCCTGGGTGTGGCATCTCTAGTGTCTTATGTCCTGGCCAGGAGAGGACGGGGCCTCTCCTCCACTGGGAAGGAGCTGGCCATCTCTGACCCAAATAATCATCGTGGTTGATTTTGTGAACAGGGACATCGAGGTTTTAAAGGAGAGAAGGGGGAGCCGGGGTTACCAGGGCTGGACGGACTGGATGCCCCGTGCCCATTGGTATGGCATTACCTTCCCTTTCCTGCTTGGTTTCTCTTGGCTTTCATGGACCTTCCTCCTGCATGCCTCCTCCATCCCTCCATCATTACCTGCTTCCTAACAACCCCAGACATGGGGCTCTTATTGCTTGGATCTGCCTCTCTGATGGATATTTAGCCTTTCCTTGTCTTCCTTTGGCTTTCTCTTCTGGACCATGTGACCTGAAATTGTGAGTTAACACTGGACATACTTCCTCTTCCCACCCACACCTTTCACTTAAAGAGTAATAAATGTAGGCCTTGACTATAAGCTGGCTAACTTCCAGACATTGCAACAAGATTAACAAATTTGCCATGCTGGGCAAGTCCACAGAAACAGCGGACCATGGGTACAGCACTGGAAGGGACCTTAAAGACTATCTCATCCAAACCCCTCATTTTACAGATGAGGAAACTGAGCCCCAGAGAGGTTAAGTGACTTAAAATTAGAGGATCATAGATCCAGAGTAGGAAGAGCCCTCAAGCCCCATCGAGTCCAACACCTTCATTTTACAGATGAGGAAACTGAGGTCCAGAGGGTTGAGTAACTCACCCAACATCACACAAGTGGTAAGCATCAGAGGGGGCATTTGAATCCACATCCTCTGACTCAAAGGCCAGTGCTCTCCTCCACTGTGCCCTGATGCCTTACTTCTAATAGTTGAGGTTATTTCTCTACTCTCACTTGGCTTCATCCTAATAATAAGTCACATTTCCATAGCACTTTAAGGCTTACAAAATGTTTCTCTTATGACCACCCTGAGTTAAGGAAGGCAAGTTTTATTGCCCCTATTTTATAGATGAGGAACCCAGTGCTCCGAGAGGTTACGTTATTTGCCAAGAGTCACACAGCTAGAAAGCAGAAGAGTGGGGGCTGGGTCTCCTGGCTCCAAGTCCAATTTTCATTCTCCCCTCCCCCACACTGCCTCTCTGATTTCTGATCCTCCCCTGTGTCCCCAGCATAATTCTGCAAGTTCAGTCTTTCCTGCGGGGTTATGGAATAGCTTAAGAGTTCCTACAGCCCAGATTGTGCCTGAGACAATTGGTGCCAATCACCCTTGCCTTGGTTATACCCTAATCTGGTGCTAACTCATTCTCCAAAATCTAGAAACAGGCCAGCCAGTTAAAAATACTCTAGTCTGAGATAACAAAAAGGGATTCACCCTCTTTGATTGAAGTCAAGAACATCCCATAAGACCTGCCTCTTTTCTCCCCTTGTCCCCAGATTGCCTTCCTTTTGAAGAGTTTGGTTCACCATTGAATACCCTCGGCAATAGTACCAGGGGAAGGACAAAGCTACAGAGAATAGTTAAGAGAGATAAGAAAGGAAAGCAGAAAGCAATAAAGGAGTCTTTAGGACAGGATAAAAGAGTATATTGTATTCTCCCCAGTCTGATAAGTTGTTTCTCTAGACAGCTAGGTGGTGGAGCAAGCTTACAGTTAGGAAGACCTGAGTTCAAATCTGGCTTCAGACACTAGTTGTATGACCCTGGGCAAGTCACTTAACCTCTGCCTCAGTTTCCTTATCTGTCAAATGAGGATAATAATAGCACTTACCTCTCAGGGTGCTTGTGAGGCTCAAATGATATAATAATTGTGAAGTGCTTAGCACAGTGCCTGGCACATAGTAGGTGCTATATAAATGTTAGCTATTACCAGTATTATTAATATTATCTAGGCATCACAATGCTAGCCCCTGTTCTTCACCCTTTTGCACCTAACTATGCCTGTGCCAAGGAAGCTCCTACCTCTTTCTCAATGTCACAAGTAGGTATGGAGATTTTGATGGTCTTTTCATTCCACCTGGTTCAATAAGCCAGGGTTAGAACCTTTGACTGGCCTGGTCTCATTCCATTTGATCATCCCCTGCCCTCCCCCCATATATATACACAGACCCAATCCTGCATGATCAATTTCAGATGGGAGACATCTTCAAATGCAGATGATTGTCAGGAATGGGGAAGGTGTACCAACGATACTTTTACAGCGCATGTTTCTTAGAGCCCATGTGTGAAGTCACTGCTATAAGAGTTCAGAAACCTTTCAGGCTGGGGAACTGAGTGAGCATGAGCCCTTTCTCGGATCCCCCATTCTGCTAAACCCTGAGCATGTAGCATGCCAACTAACATTTCTCCATAGGGAATTTTTCCATCTCTCCCACAAGCCCCCATCAATAACCAGCAAGGGCCCTTTCCTCTGCCAAACTCACCTGCCACAAACTCTTCCTATGACTCCCCAGGTCATCTTTGGATCTGCAAGTCATAACTCCCCAACCCCCTTGCTCCTGTCCACACACCTAACATTTCATTTCGCTCTGTCCTGAGCTCTACATCACATCACTCCTCCCATCACTGGTGTACCAATGGGAATGCCACTCTGGCCAGTGGTGGCTCCTTTTCCTGTGGAAGAGTCCGAGTTCATGTTGTTTCCGAAACCCTACCTATCAAAGGGTAGTGAGGATGACTCCTCGAAACAACTATGCCCGATCTTCTCCTTCTTCCTCCTCCCTCAAAAACAAATCAAATTGAGAAAATGTTATCACAAAGAGGTGTTTTCCCCCAATAACATCTGTAGAAATGTTGCCTTTCCCCTTTGCTACTTTTAGTGCTTTCGTATTTGTTGTTCTTGTCATGGGTTTTTTAAATTATAATTATCATCTGAAGCATGCTACCCACCTCTTGACAGATAGGGGTTGGACTTAAGATGCAAAATGAGACATATTTTTCGGACATGGCCAGTATGGGAATTTGTTTTGCTTGATTATGCATATTTGTTATGAGGGTTTTGTTTTATTGGCAGATGGGGAGGTGGGAGGGTGAGAAAAAGAGATTTTTGTTTGTTGAAAATATTAAATTTAAAAATAATAGGAAAGGTAAGAGAAAGAAAAATAGATTTTGTTAAATGAAAATAATTAAATTTAAATTTTAAATGATCATTATCATTATTAGGATAATAAGATACCTAATCCTGGAGCTTTCCACCATTATAAAACTTGTTAATGAAGGTCCACCACTAATTCCATGAGGAGCATTGAACACTAGGTTCCACTAATTGCATTTGAGTGAAATTGATGAGAACCAATGGCTCCCACCCAACTGATCCCATCCTTTAAGAGACTCCCATCCCAAGAGAGACCTGAGGCTAGCCATCATCTCCTTTGTAGATTCTGGCCAGACCTGTGGATGGGCCAAGTGCCAAGGGAGGTAGAGTAACCTAAAGTCACTTACTAGATCTTTCACTTAGGGCGCCCAAATCCCCACTTCCACACAGAAGCCCTAGGCTCCCACTGAACCCAGGAGACCAAACCACCTAGAACATCCACCTTTAAGCCAGCAGCAGAGAAAAGAAATAAAGCAAAATGTTGTTTAGTCCCATCCTAACCAGCCTCAAATATAGGTTGCAGATGCCCAAGGTTATTAAACTTTTCCTACTTGCCTAAGAGTCTGAGCCCTACTTTTGTCCTTCTCCATTACAGGGGGAAGATGGTTTGCCAGTCCAGGGCTGCTGGAATAAGGTAGGGTTTCCTGATGGCCTGCAGTGCATTGGTGGGATATGTGCACTTGGAGATGTCTTCCCAACAGTGAACACACACACACACACACACACACACACACACACACACATATCCCTGTACATGTTCTATAGACATATAAGCAAACCCAGCTCAGCAGAACAGCCACCCACCATGCATTGTTACCATTCCTCGAGCACTCAGGATGCATTCTTTTTCATTCTTATTGTTATCTCCTGTTTTTATATCACCTTCATTTGCAGATAAATATGTTCTTCTCAAACCTCTCCCTCCCCTCTTTTCACTACCCAGCAAGTCATTTCAAGATATATTTTTAGATAATTCCTTCTTTGGCATCCAGGTAGCTCTAATTCATGGGGTTTCCACACCAATAAGGTTCATCTATTCAGTTCAGATTCATGCTGCACTTTTTCTCCAAGGAGTTCTTAGAGATACTTATAAATTGGTTATTAATTAACTGTTAATCCTCAGAGTAGCATGTAAGGTCACCTAAACCATTTTACCTCTTCCTGGCAGTTGCTACTCAAATTAAAATAAGCCTTAGCCCTTGGTGAGTGGATTTTAAGTGGGGTTAGAATCAGGAGAGAAGTGACTTAAAATCTTGGCTCTGAAACTGTATGAGCCTAGGTATATCAAGTCAGCCTCAGTTTCCTCATCTGTAAAATAGGAATAATAATTCTTACCAAAAAAAAATCCCTCTCTGGGCTATTGTGGGCTGTTTATTGCAAAAGAAATGGGAGTCACTCTGCTTATAGAGTGTTCCCTAACCCGTGGACAGCAATTAACTAGAATTTAGAGTTAGATAAGACCTTTGAGATCACCTGATCCAACTTTCTCGTTTTCACAGAGGAGAGAAACTGGGGTCTAGAATGGTAAACTTCCTTGCCCCAGAACACACAGCCAGTAAGTAAAAGAACTAGAATTCAAACCCAGGCCCTCTGCCTCCAATCCCAGTGCTCCTTCTACTATACCATGCTAATTCTAATTCTGGGGTCAGCAGGCTCTGCTCCAGCCTGCTCCCTCTGATTCAGAGGCATTTCTTGCAGGGGGAAGGAGTTCTGGGCAGGGGTGACTGGGACAACCCTTGCTCACAGTTCATGGGGCAGCCATTTGCCATCTCTTCACCTGTACACAACAATCCACTCAAGGTCATCATAGTCATTGTTCTTCCCACATCCCCCAGTGAGGTGATGGCTTCAGACAAAAATATTTTAATGTAACCCATTTGGATAAAAATCCAAATTGACAACCCAGCCTCCATGATGGCCAAGTCAAAGAATAAGAAGAGGGAGTCCTTGTTCCCAAGGATTTCAGAAGCTCATCTTGGTCACCATCAATGGGAATAAGTCTATTTCAGGCTAATCTCAGGATGCGGAGCCTGAGGACACAGTGGCCAGGGCTTTAAGCTACAGCTGCTAAACTCCCTCACCTCCCCCAATCAGGAGTAGAGAGTAATCCAACAAACATCCATTAAGCCCCAACTGTGTACAGATTAGCTGCTAGGTGTTAGAGGAGATATAAAATGTACTTAAGACTTGACCCCAGGGGCAGCTAGGTGGCGCAGTGGATAGAGCACCGACCCTGGAGTCAAGAGGACCTGAGTTCAAATGTGATCTAAGACACATGATACTCACTAGCTGTGTGATCCTGGGCAAGTCACTTAACCCCAAATGCCTTGCCAAAAAAAAAACAAAAACAAAAACCAAGACTTGACCCTTGTTTTCAAAGAGACTACAATCTAATAGAGGGATAGGAAACAAACATATTCATCAATAAATTCAACAAAAAGCATTTATTAAATATCTGCCATGTGGGAGGTACTGTGTTAGGTGCTGGGGATTCAAAGATATGTTCTAGACCTTATTCTCCAAGAGCTTACCTCCTCATTAAAGGAGGGGGCAATAATAACTAACTTTGAACAAATAGAAACAGCAAAGTGTAGTGTGTAGAGCTGGCTTTAGAGCCAGGAAGACCTGGATTCAAGTCTTGCATCTGACATATACTGGCTTTGTGACCCTGGGCAAGTCACTACAATTCTGAGTGTTCTAGGCACCATGTTTTTGCATTTCTTTGTATCTCCAGCTCTTGGCACATTGCCTGGCACATAGTAAGAATTTAATAAATGCTTGTCAACCAGCCTACTGAGTAGGCAGCTCTGTAATACTAAAAGATACAGAGAAAGTTCCAGCCTCCTTTGGTAGAGCAAGTTCCCTCCCCCAAAAGTTGCCTCTATCAATGGAATCGCAGGTCTGGTCTGTATCCTAATCTCCATAGTTATCTTGCTGTCACACAATAACACACAATCTCCTATGACAAATGCATTCTAGAGTTACAACAATTATCAATGAGCTCCTAGGACTAAGACCTAGGTGGCTGAAAGAAGGTTCCCTGGAAGGGGTGATATTTGAGCTGAATTTTAAAAGGAAAGGGAGCCCAGGGCAGGTTATGCCTGGGGCTATTATCTTCAGCATCTTAGATTTAGTTGTGCCCACTAAAAGATGGATGATGTAAGACAAGCATCCACATTGCCTTCTGATAGAGGTTCCTAAGACTGCCTCTCGTGGCTGGAGAATGGGGTTAACCAGCTTGGTTGGGAATCTCACTAGGGTGTGGGGGAGACAAATCCATTTCCAGGGGTCAGAAGATCTGGGGGAGACAAGATGTGCCCTTATGGAACAACTAACTGTCCTAAGTCTTAGCTAGAGAGTCACAAAAACATGTATTATGTCCAGAGCTTTGTATGGAGACAGAATGGGGCAGTCAAAGGATATTAAGGATCCTGGGAGTCCTGGTCCTAGGGAAGCCTATAGTTTAACAAGAAATCATTCTGAGTCTTCCTGCCATCATAAAATGGGATCCCAGCCTTACCCATATTTGAAACAAGCCAAGGACTTGACATTGAAACTAACCTGCATCTGTTTTCTCTTGCAGTGATGGCCCTAACCTTGGATTGGCCTGTGTGTGTGTTTGTACATAGGATATTTATTTTTATACAGTTTTCTCTTTTTGGAAATGCCAGACCTTATGATGCATCTTTTACAGATTATCCCCCACAAAAAAAGCACCCTGCATTTTTGTACAGAAATTATTGAACATTCCATTCCCCTTCCTGTCTCCAAGATTTTTTGGTATAATTCTTTGTCCATGATGCACGTTTTGTTTGTGAGCACAGCTTCAATGTTTGCATGATATTTGTGCACCCTCGTTAATTAACTGTTGGAGTTTTAATAAATTATTGCATTACCGGGCCAAAGGGAGCTGTCCAGCACCAAAGTGCTGGCTAGTTCATGAGTGAGTCCAGAGAAATAATATGAAGGTCAATGGTATTTGCCACGCCAGGCATGCAGGAGAATATTTTAAACACATGGAATTTTCATTATTAAAAATGGAACATGATAACTTCTGATCCTTTTTGGTCATTAAATATATCAAGAGGCCTGTTTTTAAAAACATATAAAAAATAGCACACCCACATATCTCTGTAATCTGAAGTGCTATTGCTTTTGTCAACAAATCAAAATCAACAACCATGTATTAAACACCTTTTGTGTTAAAGCACTATTCTAGGCACTGTGGAAGATAGAAGATTTAGATGTAATATAGTTCAAGCCTCAATGGAGCTTATAGTCTAACTGAAGGATGTAACACAAACCAATCATAACACACCATTAAACGTGATAAGTACAATAGAAACTGGTCTATGTGAAGTCTGAAGGGAAAAGGTCAATACCAACTGGGCAACAGAGAAAGGTTCCCAAATAAGGTATCAGGCTTTGAAGGATAGGTAAGAATCATCAGATGAAAAAAGAAAGAGAAAAGACATTTCAGGAAGAGAGAGCAATTTTCAAATGCATAGTTCAAATACATAGTTCAGATGGAAATATGCTACTGTGGTATTTTCTAAGGGACCTATTCTAATGAATAGATAAGCATAATCTATGAGCAATGTGTCAATCAATTGTTAAGTGGGCCAGCCAACTCATACTTTGAAATTCCCATTGGTGTGGTGTGTGTGTGTGTGTGTGTGTGTGTGTGTGTGCACGCGCGCATTTGTGCTTATTAAACCAAAACCTCCAGAGGTCCAGTGGTTGCTACTATTTAAATGATGGATAAAAGTGTGGTCAGATTAAGCTTATAGAATGTTGGAGCTGGAAGGATCGTCTCATTACTCATCTTGCTTGACTTCTCTGTAGCTTCAGCCAATGTGGATCACCCTCTTCTCCTGGATGCTCCCTCCTCTCTAGGTTTTCCTAGCACTCTTCTCTCCTAACTCTTCTCCTTTCTGTCTAACTATTCCTTCTTAGGCTCCTTTGCTGGATCTTCTTCCAAGTCATGTCCATTAACTCTGGCTGTCCACCCAATCCTCTCTCCTAGGTCTTCTTCATTTTTCACTTCATACTACCATATTTGGTGATCTCGTCAGTTCCTATCGAGTCTAATTGTCAATTCCATACAGATGATTCCCAGATCTATATGTCCGATCCTAACCTCTCAATTGAACTCCAGTCTTTCATAAATTGCTGCTTCCCTGGGCATCTAAAACAACACATCCAAAACAGAACTAATTATCTTCTTTCCCAAACTCTCCTTTATTCTGAACCTCCCTATTGTTTTTGTGAGCACCACCTCTCACAGGCTCATAACCTTGCCATTATCCTCAACCCCACACTTGCATTCACCCTACATACCCAATCTGTTGCCAAGTTTGGTCAATTCTACCTTCACAACATGTCTCATATAAATCCTCTTCTCTCTGCTCACACAGCTGCTGTTCTGGGGCAGGTCCTCATCACCTTATCCCTGAACACACTAGCCTTCTGCTTGATGTCTCTACCTCAAGCTTCTTTTCATCCTCTACTCAGCTGCTAAGTGATCTTTCCAAAGTGCAAGTCTGACCATGTCACCCTCCTCTCATTCTATATATTCTAATGACCTCCTATTACCTCCAGGATCAAATGGAAAATCACGTGTTTGGCATTTAAAGACCTTCCCAACCTGCCCTCTCCTTTCAATTTGCTTACACTTTACTCTCCTCCCGTACTCTAAGATGCAACCACACCGGCACACTAGCTGTGCTTCAAAAATGACACTTCATTACATGATTTCTTGTCTTTTCACTGGCTTTCCCCTGTCTGGAATGTTCTCCCTCATCATCTCTGCCTCCTGACTTTCATAGTGTACTTCAAGGCTCAGCTCAAACCTTCTGTTCTCTAGGAGGCCTTTCCTGCTCCCTAACCACCTATTGCCAATAGCTTGAGATTATATTTTACTTATGCTCTGCATATCTTATATGTACATTTTTACATTGTCTCCCCCATTAGTATGAGAGCTCCTTAATGGCAGGGAGCCTTGGGTTTTGTCTTTATTTATATAACCAGCAATTAGCACAGCACCTGGCACATAGTAATGTCTTAATGAAGGCTTGTCAACCGACTGAATGACTGGAAGGGACCTTGGAACATATACCCTAGAATGTAAGAGTTGAAAGAGACCTGAGAACACAAAATATGAGAGCCAGGAAGAACCTTAGACAGCATCTAGTTCACCCCCTCATTTTATGTGGAAAATTACAAGCTTAAGTAAAGAGTTACCTTTTTTAACTATTTCATTTCATGCTACTTTCTGTGAATGCCTAAGATTCCAGTAATAGGAGCCATTTACTAGAATCTGAGGCAGCTAGGTGATGCAGTGCTTAGAGTGTTAGGTGTGGAGACAGGAAGAACTAAGTTCAAATTGTGCCTTGACATTTATTGGCTGTGGGCTCCTGGGCAAATCATTTAACTTCTCAGCCTCAGTTTCCCCATCTGTAAAATGGGGTAATAATAGCACCTACCTCACAGAGTTATTGTGAGGCTCAAATAAGAAAATATACATACAGCATTTTTCAAACTTTAAAGCACTATATAAATGCCAGCTATCATTATTATTATTATTAATACATTGAGCAAGATGGCTGTGAAGGTCTATTTCACCAATAACACTGCGACATGGCTCCAGGGCCATCGAAGTGCTGTATGGAATAGAGAGAACCCTGCTAATGAGGAGTTATGCAATGCCGGGGAGGAAAGGAAGCCCAGTGAAAAGAACAGTGGATTCAGAGACAGAAGACCTGGATTCAGATCCTGGCTCTTCCACTCCCTCTCTGGGTAACCTTGGGCAATTCAGGTTTGAGAAGACCCCTAGGGAGATGAGATGTCTCCTTGTGGAGCTACTGACACCCTTAAGACTAGACTGGAGCTGGAGAGGCACTAGAATTCAGCAACAATTAGTTCCTTCTCTGGGCCTCAGTTTCTTATCCATACAATGAGAGGATTGCATTGTTGTTGACTCTTTGTGACCCCTTTTGGGGTTTTCTTGGCAAAAAATACTGGAGTGGTTTGCCATTTCCTTCTCCAGTTCATTTACAGATGAGAAAACTGAGGCAAACAAGGTGAAGTGACTTGCCCAGGGTCATACAGCTAGTGAATGTCTGAGTCTGGATTTGAACTCAGGCCTTCCTGACTCCAAGCATAGTATTTTATCCACTGAGCCACCTAGTTTAAAAATCCTGTAATCTTCAGTTTTATTGCTTTCATTTACATAGTTCAATCAGCACTAGATATAACAAAGTACTGCCTAGTAAAGGTCTCTAAGGATTTCTTGTAATGAATAAATAAGCATGCTCTAGAATTTTTGGGTCAATTGTTTGTGTGTTCAAAGATGCTTCTCAAGGGCTTACCAGTTGCTTATTCACTTAGCTAGATTAAATGTCTCTGGCTTTGCCATGGGTTTATTTATGTTGTCATTTGTTTTTTGAACCCTTTTGTTATGGACCATAGAAAGCTAAGCTTTAACTCAGACCCTGTTTAACTGGCCACAAATTCCCAATGAGTAGACTTCAATTCATGACATGTTAATCTCTTTCTATGATAAGGTCATGATAAAGTCCGTCTGCATCCCATCACGTTAATAGGGTTGCATGTTGCCCCCAAACAAAGTAATCAATAAGAATTCACCCAGCACCAATGAACAGAAATACTTCGGGGCCTCAGTATCCCAGTGTCCCCCCATGCCAGAAGTTTATCTAAATGCATGCTTTTCAATAAGGCATGTTTCCCTAGATGCCTACTGATTAGCTATGTGACTCTGGGCTAGTCATTTAATCTCTTTGATCTCTGTGACTCTTTTGTAAAATGAGTGGATAGAACTAGATCTGGAAAGTTTCCTTATTTCTAAAGTAATATGTTGCTAATGAAATAGATTTGTTTCCTAAATACATTATAGAAAGATCAAGCCAGGTGGCACTGTGCTGTAATAACAGCTATCCACAAAATGTTCCATTAGACGCTGGGTTCTATGGCAAAGTTCCATTCAATTCAGTCCCGTTTATTGAGTACCTACTATGTGCCAGGCATTGTGCTAAGCACCTGAGTCCCTGTGGATACAAAAGATAGTTCCTGCCCTCAACGAGTTTACAATCTAATAGATTGTAAAGTGATTTCTAAATGGGAACCCAACCCTAGAGATGCAGCTGTCCTTTACCCAGAGCCAAGTCCTTACCACCCACACTCTCTCTGTTTCTAACATATTTATAGTCTTTAATGCTATTACCAGCAACAATTATGCTCCCAAATCCAACACAAAAATGAAATCATCTCTGCCCTCAAGAGACTTTTGTTTTATTGGAGGAAGCAACATATTCACATATAAATAAATGCAGAACATACAGAAAAGAAATAACCAAAGTAATTTCTAGGGGAAAGCCCTGACAACTACAGAAATCAGGAAAAGATTCTTGTAGGGGAGAGCATTGATGTTGAGTCTTAGAGGTTGCTGGGACCTCTAGAAAGTATAAGAGAGGAGAGAAGGGGGCAAAATTAGTCACGAGACAGAATGTCACATGAGGGGCTGTTGAGGAGGCCAGTTTGACCAGAGGGTGAGTATGTGGGGGAAGTCATGTATGATAAGCCTGGAAGGCAGGGTAAAAGTCAGATTATAAAGACCTTTAAATGTCCAAAGGGAGGTTGTATGTGTTTTTTTTTTGTCTAGAGGACTCTTCTTGAGTAGAAGAGAAGTGGCATACATGGTCAGACCTAGGCTTAAAAGGCAGCTAGATAGTGCAATGGAGCCCAGAGTCAAGAAGACTTGAGTTCAAATTTGGCCTCAGAAACTATCTTACATGCCCCTGAACAAGTCACTTAACCTCTGTCTGCCTCAGTTTCCTCAACTATAAAATGGGGGTGATAATAGCACCTGCCTCACAGACTTGTTTTTAAGATCAAATGAGAGAATATTTATAAAGCACTTAGCATAGTATCTGGTACATAGTAAGCTCTATATAAATGCTTATTTCCTTCCTCCTTCCCTTCTAGGAATGTCAATATGAAAGCTATGTGGAGGATGGATTAGAGAAAGGGGAACCATTGGAAAGATCAATTAAGAGCTATTACTATGGTTTGGGAAAGCTGTGATAAAGGCTTGAATTAGGATGCGGGCTCAATGAATGGAGAAAAGGGGGTGGATATGAGAGCCATGGAAGTCAATTCAATAAAACTTGTCAATGGAATAAATGGAGGAGGTGAGGAAGAGTGAAGAATTCAGCTTGATCCCTAGGTCATAAACCTGGATGACTAGTAGAATGGCAGTGCTCCCAATAGAAAGAGGGAATTTAGGCAGAGACAAGAATCAAGAG